GTATAGAACCATGTCAACTATGGTCTCTAGCCTAGACTCTAAACTATAGCTGTCACTACAGAACTTGATGCTGACCAGGAGGCATTTCAGGAGATCCCCCGTAACTCCTCAGGAATTCTTTAATGTCGCAGACAGGACGACGCGGTCCGCAGGTTCTCTCAAGACCAGCCCACAGCTCAGATTTCGGGCCTACCGTGCCACACCGAGCAGCCTGCCGGTCAATACCGGTCCTTGGGAGGGTTCGTGTCCTCCGGGATAGTTGAGTCGTCAGACACAGTCTTTAGCCTTACTCAGCCCAGCAGGGGATGGGTCAACGAGGCCCTATCCTTCATACACGGAGTCCTATCACCTGGACAGAAGAGACTCAATGCAGAAAGAAGAGACAAACACACTCAGACTCAGCAAGTATCATAGGGTGTGGCATACTACGTAGCCACACGGGCCTGCAGGGCCCGTCCCACATTCTCAGCCTAAAAGCCTAGAAATAAGGGCTTACAGGCCCCGTGTCGTTTCAGCCTGAAAGACTGAAAACGAGGGCCTGCAGGCCCTATTTCGTTTTCATCCTAAAACAGGGCTTTTCAGCCTTGAGTCTTTTCAGCTTGAAACGGAGGGCCACTTCCGGGCCCTCATAAGATCGTCCTGCCCTAGAACTCAGGCAACAAACCAGAGTTTCGGGAACAGGCTATTTTTGGCCTGTTCCCCACGCCAGCCTCAGCAGGAGCTGCAGCGCCAGCCCTTGGCTTGCCCTGGCATTGGCAAGGGCAGCCTCCTGGACTGCCTTGCCCTGCAGCTGCAGGCATTCAGGAGGCGAGCCGAATAGAACATAGGGAGTTCCCATGCACTTCACGGGCGGGTAGCTGGACAGAAGGCAGGAGGCAGTCTTCACGATTCGGCCGCAGCACTTTGGAGGAGCGCTGCAGGAGTAGCTTAGCGCTAGCAGTAGTCTTCAGCGTTGGGCGATAGTAGCTGCAGGAGTAGTCCTCAGCGCAAAGCGCTAAGTAGTGGTAGTGGTAGTAGTGTTGGAGAGAGATGGCTGGCGGAGGCCAGCGAGACTTACCTGTGGCGCCATAGCCCCAGCTCCATCTTTGAGGTACCTGCATCAAGGCGCCAGCTTCACAGGTTAGTACCGGACTCTGAGAGAGAGAGAGAGAGAGAGAGAGAGAGAGAGAGAGAGAGAGAGAGAGAGAGAGAGAGAGAGAGAGAGAG